CCCCAACCAGCCCAGCTGCTTAGAGCCAAGAGCAGCAACCCGGCTGATCCGTGTGTGGTGGGCAGTTGGTGTGGAAGGGTTCTGGGAGCGAGAAGGTCTGGCTCTTCTGCGCAGGAAGCAACTTGATGTTGAGGAGAAATGTAGTTTACTCCTGGTAGTAAGGAGCAGCAGATGACCTGGGACTACCACGCAAGGGCCTGCTGGGGTTGGGTTGCCCAAAGGCCAGGGAGGCTGGTTTGGGCCCTTTGGGGCCCCACTGAATTGGGCACGTGAGCAGGGCCCAGTTGCAGGGGGAGTCTTGGCTGGGGATCTGCCGCGGGTGGGCCCAGAGCCTTTGGGGCTGGAGCGGATCAAGGTGGTGGACCCCAAGGGGTGTCAATGTGGCCACTGGGGCTGTGTGTGCTGCACTAGGGTGTACGGTGGTGTGTGTGTGTGTGTGTGTGTGTGTGGCTGGCAGTTCTGCAACCATTTTATCCAGTCCCGGCTTTGCTGCCATTTCGGGGGAGGGCAGAGGGCACCGGGGAGCTCTCCTCCCTCGGTGGGCATTCGCTTGAGGGAATCCAGGCATTTCCAGGGACGAGGCGGGGAGAGGATGGGGCGCAATGGACCGGCCGGGGATGCCTGCCTGCTCAAGACCCGGGACGGGCTCCTGGGAGGGAGGCTTGGCCTTGCGGGACTCAGTCCCCGCGCACGAAGGGCGGTCAGCGGCCCCAGCCCGGACTGCCCCCACTGGGCCAAGGGGGCCCCCGGAGGGCGGCGGTGTCGCTCGGGGGGGGGGGGGGGGGGGGGGGGGGGGGGGGGGGGGGGGCTCGGCCGGCGCCGCGTCCGACGATTCGGTGCAGCCACAACCTGGCCTCGCCCGTTACGGTCCCGCTCTCTCAGCCGGCCTGCGGCTCTCCGGCGGGGAGGATGGGGGGGGGGGCGGGGCGGGGGGGCCCCCCCCCGGCGGCGCCCCCCGGCGGCGCCCCCCCCCCGCGCGGCTCCTGCCCGCCGCCGCCCCCCCGGCCGGTTGCCGTGGGGGAGGGGCGTACGGGGGGAGCTGAGCCGCTGACGTCACCGCCCCGCCCCCTCGGTGCCCGGCCTGGGCGGGGAGAAGAAGGAGGAGAAGCCGCCGCCGCCGCCGCCGCCGCCCCTGCGCAGCCTGAGCGCTGCGGGCTCCGGGAGCGACGGTGAGTCAGCAGCCCCGGGAAGGGCGGCGGGAGGCGGCGCGTTCCCCGGGCAGCCGCAGGGTCCGGCTCCGTCCCCTGGAGCGGCGCATCGGGCGCGGGGTCCCCGGCCGAGGGGAGGCTTCGCTCCGGGGGCTTCCGCGCCGAGGCCCCGCCGCCTCAAGCGGCTCCCCGGCCGCCGAGCCCTCCTCATCCCCGCCGACCCCGAGGAGCAGGCAGGAGGCAGGCGGAGCCTCTTCCCGGTGCCCCTCCCGGCATCTGGGCCTCCGCAGCTGCCGAGCCCCCCGGAGGAGCCCCGCGAGCGGCTTCGAGAGGCCTCGACCCGCCGGAGCGGCTCGGCCGGAGCTCGGAAGGGCGGCCGGGCGGCGGCTTCTCCGGGGGCTCCGCTGAGCCGGGAGAGCAGCGCCGGGAACGTTTCCGCAGCCGCCCGCTTGAAGGGCAACTCTCCGGGAATTGAGGGGCGCGTAAATGTAAAAACCACAAAAGGCAACCAGGTAAAACTTGGAAACGTTAAAAAGAAAAAACCGAAAAACTGGCCCCGACCCGGTGAAGGAGCCGCTGCCCTCCGGTCATCTGGCACCGCTTGAGGGCAAAGGCAGCCCTGGGAGGCCCCACGGAGGGCTACAGGGCTGGGGGGGGGGTGTTGGAGGGGCTTCTGCCCAGAAAAGGCTGGTTTCCTGGGCCCCCTTGGGGAGGCGTGGATCCCTGTGGGAAACGGGGACCCTCCAGGCAATCTGGCCCTGTGCCGCCTACGGCTTTAAGGGGAGGAATTGCACCGAGAACGAAATGGGGGACCAGAGCAGCTGGCGCAAGAGAGGGGCCACCCCTATTCTTGTGGGGGTCCTGCTGCACCGACTGAAGTTTCTGGGTGGTCTTCAAGGGCAGCCCCATGGGCAGATCATTGCAGGAGTCCAGGCGGGAGGGGACCAGACAGACCATCCGTGCAAAGGCCTCCCCGGCCCTGGCTGCCCCTTCGGCAGGAGTGCCCCCCCCCCCCCCGCCCTGCGCTTCAGCTCTGTCCAGGGAGCCGGAGGTGAAGGGTCGCCTGGGCGGGGTGTCTGTGTGAGAGACCCGAAGGCCCACAGCCACCCGGTCTCGCCAGGACCACGTGGGAGCCGGCCCTCGCAAGCTGCAGGCCCTCAGCCAGCCCTGCCGGGGCCTCCTCTGTGCAGCTGGCCTTCGTGGCAGACCACGAGTGCCAGGCCTCCCTGGACCCTTCCCTCCCAGGGCTCTCCCGTTGGGAAGGAGAGGCGGGAGGCCCGGCCCCCAAGACTCCCTCCCTCGCAGGGCCCTGGGCCTGACCCTCCCCTCCTACCAACCCTGGTCACAGAGGAAGGGGGAGAACCAGGGGGCCTCCCCCTCCCCACCCCGAAGCAGGCCCAGAGGGACCCCGTGCTGGATGGTAGCCAAAGCCACCCAGAGGGCAACCATCCCCGACCCTCCAGACGGTCAGCGCCCTTTCAGGGCTGTGGCCAGGCTTGAGCCCAGGCTGAGAAGGGTCCGGAGAGCTGGCCCCACCCAGGACCCTCGGGAGCCGTGTGCCAGCCCCCCCTTCCCTAAAATGGGATTAAGGGTGGAGACTGGACGAGCGTTCTCCAATACTGCGGGGTCCAAGGACGGACCCCTCTTGAGGTGGGGGCGCACCACCCCTGTCTCCTCCAGGGCCTGCAGCCCCCTCCCCTCCTCACTGAGAGGCAGTCATTACTTCGGAGAGGGGCAGAATCGGGCACCATATGCATTTAATTGGGGTGAAGAAGTAAAAGAGCCTTAAGTTTCCCGAGGGGGTAAAATTTTTGACATTCCCGTTTATTTTTTGAATCTTTGTGACCTTTGAGAGGTGCCTCCATCCAGGCTCAAAGACGGCACAGTTTCGACAGGGACGAGCCCGTCCACTTGGCCAGCTTGCCCTGCGCGGTTCAGGCTCACGGGGGCTGCAGCTCTGGGCCTGGGGGGACCCCCAGAAATGGAACCCCGGAAGATTCCTCCTCGGCCTCTGCTGAACCCCTGGCGGTGGCTGGCTCCCCCCTCTTGCTGTTCGTGGGTGGGCTCTGGATTGACAGGCGGGGGAGGCTGGGCCGCAAAGGGAAGCCCTGGCTGATTGGGGGGGGGCAGGATGGCATCTGGGCACAGTGCCAGGATTGCTGCCAGGAGGTTAGCTCTGTCCAAAAAGTCAGTCAAGGCGCCCCCTTCCCCCCCGCCCCCCGGAAGCCTCTCCAGGAAGAATAACGGTTCACTGGGTGCCATGGCAATGGAGCCCATAATAGAAGCCCACCGAGGTGGTAGCCGTGGGGAGCTGCTCCTGCCAGGCCGGGGGGCCCTGGAGGTGGGTCAGGCCTTGCTGGGCCAGGCTGTCTGAAAGCCTGCAAAGCGGGCTGGCAAAGGATGCCACGGGGCTGAGTGGGGCCTGCCTGCCTGCCTGCACAGTTGCAATGGGCCCGGAGGCTGGAATGGGCTGAGATTTTGGGGGGGAGGATTTGTATAATGGGGGACAGCTGGGGACCTTCCAGGGATCCTCTTCCTTGGGGCTGAACCCCTCCAGCCCTTGGCAACCTCAACTGAATGCTGTGGCTTATGGGTTAGAGCACCTCAGGGTCAGAGGCCAGGTCCCCCCCCCCCCGATGAAGGGGTGGGGGCCCAGCTCCGTCTCTCCCGAAGGTGTCTGTCTTTCATGGCGGCTCCTTCCCTGTCCAAGTGGGTCTTTGGGGGGGGGGGCCCAAGGGGAGGTGCCCCCTGAGCAGCTGTGGCGGGTGGGGAAACTCCCCATGGCTGCTTCTCGGTTGGCTGAAGCAGCTCCAGCTGATCTCAAGGAAAGCCAAGCAGAGCCGGCTCCGGTTAGCGCTTGGATTGGGGCCACAGAGCCCTGGAGTCCCCAAAGGGCCCCCCTCTCCCCCGCTTGGCCTCCTTGCCCTCCGTACGTGCCTCCAGGAGTCGAGCTGGGCTCTGGGGGGCTCTGCCCACAGCCAAGGCGGGAGCAGTGCTGAGCCAGCTCTGGTCACTCAGGGAGACCCACATGGTAGACCACAATCCCCGAGGGGGCTGCCTGCTGCTGGGAAGGAGGCCTTGCACCCCTCAGTCGAAAGTTCCTGCCAGGCGGGAGAATCTAAACTGGGGGAACCCCAAAAGGCTCAGGCTACAAGGCCGAAGGGAGGCCCAGGGCCACTTCCTGGGAAGAGCAAAAAAATGGGCGCACACGGGGGGGGGGGGGGGGGGGGGGGGAAAGAAAGCACTCCGTCTGGTCCAACCACAGCTGGAAAAAAAAGTTGATGCGTTAATCTCTCTGTGACCCTCAAAACCTTTAACGCCATAATTAGAAATTTCTTGCCGAATTGCTTTGGCCACCTGGACTCCCCAGGTAGGATCCCACGGGAGGAGGGCATAAACTGCCCCACCCCCACCCCCAGGGAAGGATGAGCTGCCCTGGAGGCCTTGGCAGGATAGCCAGGCTCAGCCTGGGGGCCGCCTTGAAAGTGGGGGGGGGCTCTGTGAACACCCTCAGAAGGGGTGGCGGAGGATCCTCCCAATCTCTCAGGTTGCTGGGCCCTGGGGCAATGGGGGAGGGGGCATCTGGGGGCTGGTGGGATGTGGTGGATGAGGAGAGGAAATCGAACCCCCCAGCAGGTGGGGGGGGGGTCTAAGGGCCACGCCTAACTGAGAAGCGAGATTCTCACCTGATCTCTTTAGGGCATCTCAGTTACTCAGGAAGCCTGGTTTTTTTTGGGGTGGGTGGGTGGGGGCTGATCCCTGGCATGTAGGGGGAGGGGATTGTCAGGAGAAGGAGAGACTGTACAGATGCGGCCACGGCCTCTTCACCTGCCTCCCTCTCCTTCCCTGCAGCTCCCAGCATCACCGCCATGTCGCACGAGAAGAGCTTCCTGGTCTCGGGGGACACCTATCCAGGCCCGCAGCCTCCAGCGGCCCCTGGCTATGTCCAGGCTCCGTACCCAGTGGCTCCCCACCCACAGGGTCAATTCCAGCCTGCACCGTATGGCCAGACCGGCTATCCACCGAGCCCCTACCCGGTTTCTCCCTACCCCCAGGCCGGGCCCTACGGACCTTATCCACAAGGCGCATACCCGCAAGGGCCGTACCCCCAGGGCCCCTATGTGCAGCCGCACCCCGGAGCCCCTGTGAGCCCCCCTGGTAAGTTGTGCCCTGGTGGGCCAAGGGAAGGGGACAGTTTCCTAGGCAGGGGGCTCTGCCTCCCCCCCACGCCAATCCTGGGCTATTGGGGGAGCCCTCCTAAGGCATCCACCAGCTGTGAGCGGCCTCTGGGGGTACACGTCTCCTGAAGTCTGACCAGGCAGAAGGGGGCACCCTCCGTGCGGCCTGGGGAGCAGACACTCACCTTCCCCCGCCCTGCTTTCCGGACGGCCGGGTGTCCGGGGGCTGCAGGGAGAGCTGCTCAGCCTGCCTGCACTGCTGCTTCTGCACAGGGCCGATGCACAACAACTACCATGAGGACGGCCCCCCTTCTTACTACGACAATGATGGCTTCACCCCCAGCAACTGGGACGACAAGAACATCCGGCAGGCTTTCATCCGCAAGGTCAGCAGGGGGGTCCCTGTAGGGCTTGACAGGCCGCGTGCGGCTCCTGGTTGGCTGAGAGTCTGCCCCTTTGGTTGCTGCCCCCCTCCCCAGCCCCCCCACCCCACCCCGGTGTCCCTTCCATGGGAGGCCTCACCGGAGGCTCAGCTCAGGGAAGCGCTCCTTGCAAGGAGAAGGGAATGGTCCTCTGGCCGGGGGGAGGGCGGGGGACCCCAGCTGCCCCCGGAAGGGCCTTCTTCCACGGACCTTCTTGCAGAAACGGGAGAGGGCGTAGAGGAGAAGGTCTCCGTGCTCTCTCTCCCCTTTGGGGGAAGGGCTTCCCTCACTGCCCAAGAAGGGGGTCTTGGGAGGAGCCAAGCAGGACAGGGTCCCCCGGGTGCCCTGGGAGCAGCTCAGCTGACGTGGAAGAGCGTCGGGTGCCTCTTGTAGGGGAGAACCCGGGCAGGGGGGAGGAGGGGGCCCACCAGATCCTTCTATCACCCCAGAGGGCTGCCCTGGCCAGGCTGAGCTGCTGCCCTTGCCCTTGCAGGTTTTCCTGGTGCTGACCATCCAGCTCTCGGTGACCTTCTCCTTTGTGGCCATCTTCACCTTCGTGAAGGATGTGAAAGGCTTCGTGCGCAAGAACGTCTGGACGTACTACGTCTCCTATGCGGTTTTCTTCATCTCCCTCATCGTCCTGAGCTGCTGTGGGGATTTCCGGCGGAAGCACCCGTGGAACCTGATAGCCCTGGTAGTGCAGGGCCCTGGCGGGAGGGGGAGGTTGAGGCTGCCCTCCACTGGGGCTGGGCGGGCCTGGCTGGCTCTCGGGAGAAGCCCCCCAAGGCAGCAAGGAGGCCCCCGCCAAGCTCTGGTGGAGGCACTGACACCCTTGTTTCCCACTGCAGTCCATCCTGACGTTGAGTCTCTCCTACATGGTGGGCATGATCGCCAGCTTCTACAACACGGACGCCGTCATCATGGCCGTGGGCATCACAACTGCCGTGTGCTTCACCGTTGTCATTTTCTCCTTGCAGGTGGGGGCCCTCGGCTTCCTCTGGGATGGGGGAATTGGGCCACGTGGCCGCATACATAAGTTGGGGTCATGTTCCCAGGTGTGCAGGGGGGATTGGAGAGCACCCGCTCGCTTTGGACCCCAGCATTTCCCATGCCCATTGGCAGTGCTGCTCTGGGGTATCACTGGGAGCGAAGGGCCCGGGAGTGAGGTTCCTGGTGAAGCCACCGTGCCTGTGCCAGAAGGGTACAGAATCCAGGTCCTCTAGAGCAGAGCCCCTGCCTCCTGCAGCACACACCCCGGCTGTCCTCCAACCGGAGAGGCAGAGCCTTTGAGGGTTGCGTGTGAGCGGGGGTCAGTCTGGGAAAGCAAGTCAAATCCCTCTCTGACTTGCCCTGTGGCCCCCTCCCCTCTGGCAGACCAAGTACGACTTCACCTCCTGCCGCGGCGTGCTGATCGTCTGCCTGATGGTCCTGTTCATCTTTGCCATCCTGTGCATCTTCATCCGAAACCGTATCCTGGAGATCGTCTACGCGTCCCTCGGGGCCCTGCTCTTCACCTGCGTGAGTGACTGGGCCCCACTGGGAAGGGGGCGTCTCCTCGTGGAGCGGCAGGGGCTGCTGTGCGGGAGGCGGAGAGGAAGACCCCCACCCCCAGTTTGGGGACTAACTCCGCTGCTTCTTGCAGTTCTTGGCAGTGGACACCCAGCTGATCCTGGGGAACAAGCAGCTGGCCATCAGCCAGGAGGAATACGTCTTTGCGGCCCTCAACCTCTACACGGACATTATCAACATCTTCCTGTACATCTTGGCCATCATTGGCCGTGCCAAGGATTAGGACGTCTCCAGCCCTGTCCTCCCTCACAACCCCGTCCCCTCCCCGGTTTTGTTCTCTTTTCCCTACGGGCCCGGTTGGAGTCCTGATGCTCCCGCGGGAGGCGGCTCCGCAAGGTGGCAGCGGTGGGCACTCTTCTTTGGCCTGCCTGTCCAGAGCGGGGAAGAGAAGGGATTTATGCCCGGCCTGTCTTGGGTGAACCGGAGTTGAGGAAGGGGTGTACATAGGCTGCTGCTCTTGTCCGCTGCGTTTTGCTTGAGAAATGTCTTGTTTCATTTTGGAAACTGCCCTCCTGGGCCCAGGAGCCCCCGCTGAGCCCCTCTGATGCCCACCCTGGCCTGCCTCCCCCTTGCTTGCTGGGCATGACCTTCCCCCCTGGCCCACCCCGGCCGTCTTGGGCAGAGTGTTTCACCCTGGGGGGAGGGGGGGCTGTGGGTGTTGGGCAGCCCTGAGGGTGCCCACCTCGAAGTCTCTCTTGGCACCTCCGTGTTGGGGGTCTGCCGAGACCTTTTGACCAGGATGTTGATGTTACTTGAGGGCACTTTCCTCTCTCTTCTCCCCCCCCTCCTCCCCCTCCCCCACATGTGGCTGGCTTTGGGGGGCTTGAAATGCTGCATGTTGAGCCATTGCCACTCTGCCCTCAAGGCCAGCCTCTGCACTAAGCTGTATAAATAGCAGTCTAATAAAAGTCAGAATACGCCCACAGCAACGTCTTTGCTTTTCTGCATCCAGCCAGGAAGGAGAGGAGGGAGGGGGCTTCCCTGGGCTGGGGGCTACCTGATCATGTGAATGAGCTCCTTTGAATGAGTGGCACAGGAGGCTCCAAGGAGGGATGGAGAGGTGACCGTGGGCGCTGCAGGAACCTTCCAGGGCAGCTGTCTCCAACCTTCCTGGCTTTGCGGATCGACAATTGGGGATGGGGGGGGGCGAGAGATGGTTCCACATTTGTGCGAGTGACAGATGCACGCAGGCCACTTGTGCAAACGGATCAGATGGGCATTGGGAAGACAGGCTGACACCGCCACTTTCACATAAATCCAAATTACACACTCCTCCTCTCAGCGCCACCATCCTTTAAAGACTCCTGTGGCGATGGGCCACCCTGACTGGCACCTATGCTCCCCCCAGGACCACCTTGGATAATAGAGCAGTAGAACCAAGATCGTGTGAAGTGTTGGTGCCACTGTATAATGCCTTGGGGAGACCACACTTGAGAATATTGCATCTGCTTTTGGTCGCCACAATGTAAAAAATAACAGATAATCACAGTTGGAAGGGACCTTGGAGGTCATCTAGTCCAACCCCCAGCCCAAGCAGGAGATCCTACACCATTCCTGACAGGTGGCAGTCCAGTCTCTTCTTGAAAGTCTCAAGGGATGAAGCTCCCACAACTTCCGAGGGCAACTTCTCTTCTGTCTGTTGATTGTTCTCCCTGTCAGAAAATTCCTCCTTATTTCCAGGTTGAATCTCTCCTGGTTCAGTTTCCTTCCCTTATTGTTCCTTGTCTGGCCTTCCGGTGCTTTAGATGTTGAGACTCCAGAAAGAGTGTAGAGAAGAGGAAGATGTCCGCGATAGGCTAAACCATCTGCAGAAAGTGGGTATGTCTTGCCTAATGAAAAAAAGGACCAGGGGTGACGTGATAGCACTTTCCCAGGATTTGAGGGGCTGTCCCAAAGGAGAGGGGGTGTTCTCCGAGACACCTGAAGACAAGAACAGGGGTGGAAACTCACCAAGAAGCAACCTGGAACTAAGAAATTTCCTGACAGAACAATCTGGAACAACTTGCCACAAGAAGTTGTAGGGCAGGGGTAACTTAAGTCACGTCATCAAGTCATTTGATGAATCGGGACTTTCCCCTTTCACTAAACTGGGCATGGGTGTGGCCAGAGCATGGTGCATCCGGTCTGCAGGCAAGGAGTATGACAGCCCTGTTGCAGGGCCTCCATCAGTGGAGGTTTTGAAGAAGAGACGGAACAAAGCAGTATTTTCTGCTTCAGACTAGGGTTGGACCAGGGTTCAGCCAAGGTCCCTTCTGACTCTTCTCCTGAGATGAAAGACGGGCTCCATGAAGAAGCAGATACCCTTTGATAAACAGTGAGAAGCCTCCAGCGCACGGATCTTGCTTGTTCTCTTCAGTGTAAGAGAATGGTGAGATTCTGCAGCCGGGTGGGAGTCGTCGGGAGAGTGAGCAAGTGTGACAGCTCCTCTCTCACCAAAGACCTGTGCAACACGCAACTTCCTCAACTCTGGTGCAGGTTTCCACTTGGCTACCTGTAATAAGACTTCCTGGCTGTACCTCGACTCCAAGCATTGCAACTTATTGTGTCCTTGTCAGGAGAAAAGGTGGGATGTCAGAATGCGCCTGTGTTGTGCTGACTGCTGGACAGAGCAAAGGCGCATTGTCTCCAAAGTGGAGCTCCAAGCTGTGACCTCAGGGAAGCGAGGCCATCAAAAGACTCAGGCCAAGCTGAAGAACCCCAGCTCGGCTGCTGCACTGGCTGAAGACGGAGAAGCCTCCATTTTGCTGGCATAGCTGAGCGTGACAGAATGCTTTAGAATGAGGAGGAGATGCAGGCTGGTTGGTAGGCATCACCATCATTGGCATCCCAGAGCCTCGGTGGCACAGGGGTGAGAGTGTAGTACGGCAGAGGCTTTCACAAGTTTGGCAGATCAAATCTCACCAGGCTCAAGGCTGACTCCATCCTTCTGAGGTTGGTAAAATGAGGACCCCAATTGTTGGAGGCAATATGCTGACTCCATAGACTGCTTAGAGAGGGCGGTAAAGCACTAAAGCGGTGTCTAAGTCTAAGTCCTGTTGCTACTGTGTCTATCAGAGTGACTTATCAGCTGCCAAGGAAAGAGCCCTCACGGTTGCTGGCAGGATAGTTCAGAATAAATTGCAAAAAATGCAAGGTGCCCTACAGGGATCGGCTGCTACTTGAAATGGTTTTATGAAGCCCTTAACAGACCTGTCTGCAGACCTCAGTCTCTTGCCTGAACGTAGAGGGTACAGTTCTCATGACTGAGGAGGTTCAGATCCTGCAGAGATGGGCAGAATGCTTTGAAGCCATCCTCAGTCCACTATCGTGTATTAACAATGGGGCAGTAGGCAGGATTCCCCAGATCAACATCAACAGCACCACGGGTGAGCCATGAGTAGTAGCTAAAGTCCCAGAAGCTGTCAGCCAGCAATCCAGTGACAAAACTCCAGGGTGGGCACCATAATGGCAGACATCTATACAAAGTCAATGGTCTTAAATTTAAAGGAAACACACATCAATTTATTTTAGGCTTTTTGGAAACAAGGATCCATTAAGGATCCATTTCTCAAGAACTTGAGAAATGCACCCATCCTACACCTCTACGGGAAGAAGGGCAATCGTCAAGTATGAGAGAACCATTGAGGAATATTGCTGCTCTCCATTGCAGGAAAATCCCTTCATCTGGAGCTGGACTTGCTGCCAGAGTCAAAGTGTGCCTTCTGCAGAAGTGGGTGGGATTAACGACATAATTTTTGCTGTGCACCAACTTCAGGAAAAGAGTCAGGAACAGTATCATGAACTCTATACAACCTTCCTTGACTTCATAAAAGCCTTTGATTCTATCCACCAACATGGCTGCCCCACCAAATTTATTCAGGTGCTGTGCTGGTTCCATGGCACCACGAGGGCCAGGGTGCTAAGCCATTCCCAGCCACCCATGGCGCTCACACACGATGTTTACCGCCATGCTGTCTGAGGCCTTTCAGGGCAGCAGAGCTGGAGTCCAATTCAAGTACAGAGTGGGTGGGAAGCTCTTCAACTTAAGGAGGCCTCGGACTTTCACCAAATGAAGGAAGTTTTACATTGACATTTTATTTGATTTGTCAATCGCTTACAAGATACAGGTATAAGAATAAATATAGTTTTGAATACATGAGATACTTATAAGTTGTTCTGAGGGGATTCCTCTTAGCTGATGACCATGTCCTGAATGCTGGCTCAGGGCCAGAGATGCAAGTCAGTGTGGACAAATTCTCCATGGTTGTGACAACTTTGGACTCCCCACCAGTATTCAAAAGTCGGTGGTTGTGCACCAGTCTGCTCCTCGTGCATTGTACGCAGAACTCAAAATCACAATCAAAAGTCAGAAATGAGAAGCAGTGGACCAATTCAAGTACTCTGGCAGCCTCTCTCCACTGACTGTGCTGGTTAAACCGTATATAGTTAGTTTGGGAATGAGAGCTGTCCCCTTGAGGGAATGCTTCGTGGGAAATGTAGTTAATGTCTCTTGGGAGATGTAGTTGATGTCATGTGGTCACATCTTTAGTCGTTATTGGTCACTGAATTGACCTCTAGTTGGGTTGGGGGGAGTTTCGGTCATTCCTACCTGGACCCCAGCATCATGCTGGAGTCTTCCTTTGCTGTATCATTATGGGATGAAGATAACTATCTTTTCACACTATGAAGACAACAGTGTAAAGGTTGGACATCAGATGAATCTCAACATAACTGTGAGTTATACCTTGAAGATGCCTGAGATAGTCCAATAAAGAAACTTTGTATGGAAGCCTTTGTAGTGTTTAACTCCTTACCTCAGGTATTTTGAGAAGATAAATATTGCCTGAGACGAGGCAGTGAAAAGATATGGAATCTGATTTCCTATAAATGGTGAAAACATAAGTTTTTTGATTCCTTCTTAAATCAGGAGCAAGAATTTTGAATTGTATCTTAGAAGAGAGAAGAGGAACTGTTAAGCAAATAGAAGATTGCACCCATGCTGTTTCCCTGTCTCTCCCTGCGAGCCCTCCAGTTTCGT